CCGCTCCCCCAGCCACCAGAGGGCCCCTGGGGACAACGGGGTGGGAACCCCGGCCGGCCTACGTACCTCGGCTGAGGACTCACTCCGCAGCCTTATGCTTCTGCGGCCCCGCTCTGGCTCCCTCTCCCGCACAGTGGCCTCTCTAGCCCCGTCCCCCTCCACCCCTGGCAGAGACCAGGAAGCCAGGACACCCATGGAGTGAAATGTCACCAGCCGCAGCAGCAGCTGCCTGGGCCCAGGGGGTCCCTGCCCCAGGAGGCCCTGCGGCTGTCCTGGAGTCACATGTACCAGGTCCCTGTGGGCTGGGTGACTGGGCTGGAGGATCTAGGGGCCCCGGCTTCACTGCTGGAGCCCCTAAGTGTCCCCAACATGCCGCTTTGACCAGCCTCTGCCACCCCCAATGTGGCTCTGCCTCTCTCCCTCTGTTCATTCACCACCCAGACAGACAGACGGATGACTCCATTCACTCAGGCCTGCTGGTGGTTGCTGTCCCCACCCCGACCCGTGAGCCAGTCCTGAGCTGGAGACCTGAGGACCCGCCTCCCTCCTGGGCACCCGTCCCTCAGCACCCCTCACTAACTGGCACTGGCCTCCCAAAGGCAGCGGCACTAAGCCCACCTCCTCGTTCCTCTCGTCCTGGTGTTCCCACATTTAGCTGTCAGCTTTCATATAGGTTCTCCATCTGGGCCCCTGCGCTCCACTGCTGATGGCACCTGGGTCCTGCCTCCATCTCCACTCACCCGGGTGGGTGTCAGCATGGTGTCCCGTGCCCTGTCACCCTGCTTGCCCCCTGCCCTGTCTCCTTCTCTGCTGTCGTCTTCTAGGCAGCCAGTGGGATCTGTTAAAAAGTTAATCCCTTGGGAGCCAGCAGGTGGCGTGGTGGTTAAGGGCGAGGGATTCTCACATGGCCCACCATGGTTCAAGTCCCAGACCTGGCAGCTGAGTCCCTGACCTGGAGGCTTGCTTTCTCACTTTCACTCTCTTTCTCTCTCTGGTCCAAGTAAAATAAATAAATAAATAAATAAATAAATAAATAAATAAATAAATAAAGTAATCCTAAAAAAAAAAGAAAATCTCTCAGAGGTCAGAAGGCAGCATGATCTTTAAGGAACTGGACTCCCTTGTGGTCGACCGTGGTTCAAGTCCTGGACCTGGTGGCTTGAAACATGCTGGGCACGTGTGTGCGTGTATGCCCAAAATCTTGAGAGGAAAATGGAGGAGAAGGGATTGTAGCATGGCCATCCCTGCTGTGGGGGGTGATTTCTCACACTTGGTCTCTGTCTCTGTCTCTCCACCAAGCACATGTGCCCTGTAGCAAAATATTTCAAAACAAAATGTAAAAATGAGTCTCTTTGACCAGCAAGTAGTATAGAGTTGAAGGCACTGGATCTCACCTGGCTGTTGGGTTGAGTTCGATGAGGGGGTACAAGGACACCCTGTTCAAAGAGAAGGCAAACATGGGGCCAGCAGGTGGCATGGTTGTTAATGGCATTGGATTCCTACATGGTCAACTATGGTTCAAATCCCGGGCCTGGTGGCTTACTTTCTCTCTCTCTCACTCTGTCCCCCTTTTGTCAAATTAAAGTAAGTAAATAGATAAATAAAGTTAAATAAAATAATTCTTTTTTTTGTTTGAGAGGTTTTTGCTTTAGGACGGGTGTGCTCACCAGAAAGACAGAGAGAAGAGAGACAGAAAGTGAGAAATCATCCTCCAGGGGGGATGGCCGCGCTGCAATCCCTGCTCCTCCATTCTCTTCTTGGGATTTTGGGCACGCACACATACACACCTGGGGTGTTTTTCAAGCTGCTGGGTCCAGAACTCAACCTAGGAGTTGGCTATGTGGGATCCAATGCTTTAACCACACCACCTGCTGGCTCGCCTTTATGTGATTTTCAACATTATCCTTTCATATTCTCTCTCTCTCTTTTATTTTAAGAATTATTTATTTATTTAATTCCATTTGTTATTATTATTATTATTTTTATTTGACCAGACAGAGACAGAGAGAGAAAGGGAAAGCAAGAAAGTAAGCTGCAGATCCGGGACTTGATCCACAGTTGTTATGTGGGAATCCAGTGCCTTTAACTACTATGCCATCTGCTGGTCCCATACTGTCTCTTTTAATTGCCAGAGGGTGTATGCTGTCTGCAGAGAGAGACAGAGACAGGGAGAGGAAGAAAACACCTCCAATGGGATGTTACTACAGTGCAATCCTTTCTCCTCCATTTCTCCATCCTGCTAGGATCTGGGGCATGTGCACCAGTCGGGCATGGTTTTCAATCTGTCAGGACTGAGACCGAAACTATGGCCACGCCCCTCCCTCTGATAAGATGCAGCTCTGTGAAGGCAGGATGTTTGTTTCATTCTTGTTTGTGCAATGCTGGGCATGCATTTGGATCTCAGCCAAAATGCTTGCTCTGGTCTAAGTTGTCACTGTCTAAAATTCCTGTGTTTAGGTCCTAACTTCCTGGGGCTGGCAGAGAGCATTAAGGCACTGGACTTCCCCATGGCTGACAGCAGTTCGAGCCTTGGACTTGGTGCTTTGTGTTCTGACTTTCCCTCTGTCCTCTCTCTCTGTCTCTTTCTGGTGAGCATGCATGCCCTGGAGCAAATTAAAAAATAACAATAATGAGGGCTAGCAGGAGCATGGTGGTTAAGGTACTGGAATTCCCACAGGGCCGACCACAGTTCAAGTCCCATACCTGGTGGTTTTCTCTTGCTCTTTCTTTCTCTGGCAAAATTCATGTGAAAAAAATAATAACGGACCAGCAGGTGGCATGGTGGTTAAGATGCTGGACACTTCCACATGGCTGATCATGGTTCAAGTCCTGGACTTGGTGGCTTGCTTTCTCACTTCCCCTCTTCCTCTCTCTCTCTGGAAACTCAAACACAAAAGACCACAAGCCTGGGCAGCAGGTAGTGTGGTGGTTGAGGGCTCTGGGACTCCCACACCAGCCAACTGTGGTTCGAGTCCCTGACCTGGAGGCTTGCTTTCTCACTTTCACTCTCTTTCTCTCTCTGGTCCAAGTAAAATAAATAAATAAATAAATAAATAAATAAATAAATAAATAAATAAAGTAATCCTAAAAAAAAAAGAAAATCTCTCAGAGGTCAGAAGGCAGCATGATCTTTAAGGAACTGGACTCCCTTGTGGTCGACCGTGGTTCAAGTCCTGGACCTGGTGGCTTGAAACATGCTGGGCACGTGTGTGCGTGTATGCCCAAAATCTTGAGAGGAAAATGGAGGAGAAGGGATTGTAGCATGGCCATCCCTGCTGTGGGGGGTGATTTCTCACACTTGGTCTCTGTCTCTGTCTCTCCACCAAGTACATGTGCCCTGTAGCAAAATATTTCAAAACAAAATGTAAAAATGAGTCTCTTTGACCAGCAAGTAGTATAGAGTTGAAGGCACTGGATCTCACCTGGCTGTTGGGTTGAGTTCGATGAGGGGGTACAAGGACACCCTGTTCAAAGAGAAGGCAAACATGGGGCCAGCAGGTGGCATGGTTGTTAATGGCATTGGATTCCTACATGGTCAACTATGGTTCAAATCCCGGACCTGGTGGCTTACTTTCTCTCTCTCTCACTCTGTCCCCCTTTTGTCAAATTAAAGTAAGTAAATAGATAAATAAAGTTAAATAAAATAATTCTTTTTTTTGTTTGAGAGGTTTTTGCTTTAGGACGGGTGTGCTCACCAGAAAGACAGAGAGAAGAGAGACAGAAAGTGAGAAATCATCCTCCAGGGGGGATGGCCGCGCTGCAATCCCTGCTCCTCCATTCTCTTCTTGGGATTTTGGGCACGCACACATACACACCTGGGGTGTTTTTCAAGCTGCTGGGTCCAGAACTCAACCTAGGAGTTGGCTATGTGGGATCCAATGCTTTAACCACACCACCTGCTGGCTCGCCTTTATGTGATTTTCAACATTATCCTTTCATATTCTCTCTCTCTCTTTTATTTTAAGAATTATTTATTTATTTAATTCCATTTGTTATTATTATTATTATTTTTATTTGACCAGACAGAGACAGAGAGAGAAAGGGAAAGCAAGAAAGTAAGCTGCAGATCCGGGACTTGATCCACAGTTGTTATGTGGGAATCCAGTGCCTTTAACTACTATGCCATCTGCTGGTCCCATACTGTCTCTTTTAATTGCCAGAGGGTGTATGCTGTCTGCAGAGAGAGACAGAGACAGGGAGAGGAAGAAAACACCTCCAATGGGATGTTACTACAGTGCAATCCTTTCTCCTCCATTTCTCCATCCTGCTAGGATCTGGGGCATGTGCACCAGTCGGGCATGGTTTTCAATCTGTCAGGACTGAGACCGAAACTATGGCCACGCCCCTCCCTCTGATAAGATGCAGCTCTGTGAAGGCAGGATGTTTGTTTCATTCTTGTTTGTGCAATGCTGGGCATGCATTTGGATCTCAGCCAAAATGCTTGCTCTGGTCTAAGTTGTCACTGTCTAAAATTCCTGTGTTTAGGTCCTAACTTCCTGGGGCTGGCAGAGAGCATTAAGGCACTGGACTTCCCCATGGCTGACAGCAGTTCGAGCCTTGGACTTGGTGCTTTGTGTTCTGACTTTCCCTCTGTCCTCTCTCTCTGTCTCTTTCTGGTGAGCATGCATGCCCTGGAGCAAATTAAAAAATAACAATAATGAGGGCTAGCAGGAGCATGGTGGTTAAGGTACTGGAATTCCCACAGGGCCGACCACAGTTCAAGTCCCATACCTGGTGGTTTTCTCTTGCTCTTTCTTTCTCTGGCAAAATTCATGTGAAAAAAATAATAACGGACCAGCAGGTGACATGGTGGTTAAGATGCTGGACACTTCCACATGGCGGATGGTGGTTCAAGTCCTGGACTTGGTGGCTTGCTTTCTCACTTCCCCTCTTCCTCTCTCTCTCTGTCAAATTAAGAATAAATGAATGAATAAATAAAATTAAATAAATACATTTTTAAAATTTGCATTTTGAGTCCCGGACCCGGTGGCTTAAACTCATGCCAGGCACATGTGCGTGCGTGCCCAAGATCCCGAGAGGAGAATGGAGAAGGGATTGCCGCGTGGCCATCCCCCCTGGGGGGTGATTTCTTGCTTTCTGTCTTTTTGTCTCTCTGTATCTCTCTCTCTTTATTAATAATAAATAAAATGAAGGCCTAACCTCCAACACTAGCAATCAATCCAGTTGGGCTGGGAAAACTGGAGGTATGGGGATTGCAGCACAAGCTCCTGTCGAAGGTGTTTGTCTCTTTTCTGCACTCTTACGCTCATGAAAATCATAAATAAACTTAAATATATATATTTAAGTTCTTATTTATTTCTTTTTTATTTTTGTGTACCCCCAGCCCCCAACACCGTCGGGGAGAACAGCCTGTGGGGCGCTGTGTCTGCCAGGTGACCACCATGGTTCTAACAGTCTGCCTGGGGGGGAAAGAGATGTCTCTCCTGGACGGTAGAGGGAGCTCTTTTCCCAGTGGAAGGTCAGGGAAGGCTTCCCAGAGGAGGTGACAGCAGCAGCTGCCAGCAGAAGGGCGTTAAGCAGAACGTGCTGGGTCTGGAGACCTGGTAGGGCACGAATGATGTCACTATCCCATTTGACAAGAGAAGCTCAGAGTCTAAAACTATGTCTGACTTTGCTTAGTGACCCAAATCCTATGCAAGGGCTACGCCCTGGACCATCCTCCAACGCAGGCGACAGAAATCGAGGACAAGCGCCGCGCAACGCGGTGAGATTCCAGCAGGTGGCAGAATGGGACGCCGAGCACACTGGGATGGGTATTACGGCTCCTCGCGGCTTCCGTACGACCCAAAGATGGCCGCGCCCCCGACTACGGGCTCCAAGGAGGGTCATGTGATCTAGCAACTTCCGGTCTTTCTGCCCAGGTTAAACCCCTCGCCGTACTTCCTCTGCTTTTACAGAGACGCGTGTGACGGGGCTTAACGCGCTTTAAGGCCGCCTTAGGCCAGGCCTGGGACGGCTCCGAGCTGACAGCCGGACCGCAGGCGTATGGAGGGTTCTCCGGAGGGAGAAGCGCCCGCAGCGGCGCTGGCCGCCGTGCTGAAGCACAGCTCTGGGTTGCCGCCTGAGAGCGTCCAGGTCCGGGGCTACGACTTCAACCGCGGCGTGGATTATCGCGCACTGCTGGAGACCTTCGGCACCACCGGCTTCCAGGCAACCAATTTCGGGCGCGCGGTGCAGCAAGTGAATGCCATGGTGAGGCTTGGGGCGGGACTTCCCGGAGGAGGGGCGTGGCCTCTAGCCGGACCAATGTAACTCTGTGTTTGGAAGGGGCGGGGCTTCCCTGGAGGAGGAGGCGTGCCCCTCACTGCTCTGGTCCAATAACTGGAGAGGGGCGGGGCCAGCACAGGCGGGAGTTTTAGCTGGAAAAGGGAACTTGGCACGCCTGTAGTTCAATTGTATTAAGAGGGGATGATGCTTGGTTTTAGGTAGGGGGCGGCTTTCGGGCATATTTAAAATGTTCTGGAGTCGGGGGCTGGCAGGTGACGATGTGGTTAAGGTGCTGGACTCCTTTTTTAAAAAATTAAAATAATTATTATAATTTTTCAATATGACCAGAAAGAGAGATGAGGAAAGGAAAAAAATAAGTCACCAGGTCCAGGACTCGAACCGGGGTCGACCATATGAGAGTCCAGCACCTTAACCACCACGCCACCTGCTGGCCCCAAAATACTGGACTCCTACATGGAGTTAATCATGGTTCAAGTCCCAGACCTGGTGGGTTGCTTTTTCCCTCTCACTTGCTCTGTTTGGAGCTTAAATCAGGGCAGGGTTTAAATTTACCTTTGCTTTTCTGGAAGAACCCTCTGATTCCTAAAGCGGAGGGAACTTCCTTCACTGTGATGTGGTCTGGGAAGGGGCGAGGTGTGTACTAGAGTCAGTCTTTGGTCTCTGGTTCAAGTGATCCTGTATCCCTAAGAGGCAGGGCTGAGGGTGGGGTGGTGGTGGTGGGGGGGTGGATTCTGACTCGGGTTTAAATTTACCTTTGCTTTTCTGGAAGAACCCTCTGATTCCTAAAGCGGAGGGAACTTCCTTCACTGTGATGTGGTCTGGGAAGGGGCGAGGTGTGTACTAGAGTCAGTCTTTGGTCTCTGGTTCAAGTGATCCTGTATCCCTAAGAGGCAGGGCTGAGGGTGGGGTGGTGGTGGTGGGGGGGTGGATTCTGACTCTAGAGCCCACCAGGCATTCTTGGGCTGAGGTTTGGGGCCTGGGCTGAGGTTCGGGGCCTGTGCTTAACTCCAGCTGGTCCTTTCGCCCAGATTGAGAAGAAGCTGGAGCCGCTCCCACAAGACGAAGACCAGCACGCAGACCTGACCCAGAGCCGCCGCCCACTCACAGGCTGCACCATTTTCCTGGGCTACACGTCCAACCTCATCAGCTCAGGCATCCGCGAGACCATCCGATACCTCGTGCAGCACAACATGGTGGGGACCTGGCCTTGGCCTTTCTGGATCAATTGCAAATGAAATTCTTGGGGACCAGCAGTTGGCATAATAGCTATGTCGCTGGACTCCCGTGTAGTCGACCGGGGTTCAAGTCCCAGACCTGGTGGCTTAAACTCACACCAGGTGCTTGTGCATGCGTGCCTAAGATCCTGAGAATAGAGAAGGGATTGCGGTGTGGCCATCCCCCCCTGGGGGGTGATTTCTCTCACTTTCTGTCTCTCTGTCTCTCTCTTTCTGGCAAGTGCATGCTCCCTATAGCACAAACCTCTCAAAAAAAAAAAAAAAAAGGAAAATGAAATTATTGACCATCTAAGTGAAACTGGTATATGGATTTTAAACTGAGGGACAGAATTGAGTTTGGGTTTGCCACAAAACTCCCCATAAGGGTCAGGAGAAGGATCAAGATTAGAAGTTCTGCCCAGGGGGCCAGCAGGTGACATGAAGGTTAAGGTGTTTTTCCCCACACGGTTGAAAGTATGTTTCGAATCCCAGGCCTGGCAGCTTGAAAAAAACATGCCCGGCACGTGTGTGTGCCTGCCCAGAATCCCACAAGGTGAATGGAGAAGGGATTGTAGAGTGGCCAAAGTCACCCCCCCACAGGAGGGTGAGTTCTTTTTTTTTTGGAGAGGTTTTTGCTATAGGGCGCGTGCGCTCGCCAGACAGACAGAGAGAGAGACATAGAGACAGAAAGCGAGAAATCACCCCCCAGGGGGGATGGTCACGCCGCAATCCCTTCTCCTCCATTCTCCTCTCGGGATCTTGGGCACGCACGCACACGCGCCCGGCGTGAGATTTAAGCCACCGGGTCCGAGACGCGAACCGCGGTCGACTACGTGGGAGTCCAGCGACATAGCCATTACGCCAACTGCTGGTTCCCGAGTTCTTATTTTCCCTCTATCTCTCTCTCTCTGGGGAACGCACACACCCTATAGCAAAATAATAGGTTGAGGGATTAGCAGATGGAGTAATGGCTATATCGCTGGACTCCCACATGGTCGACTGTGGTTCGAGTCCCCGACCTGGTGGCTTAAACTCATGCCGGGCATGTGTGTGTGCATGCCCAAGGTCCCGAGATGAGAATGGAGGAGAAGGGATTGGGGTGTGGCCATCCCCCCTGGGGGGGGATTTCTTGCTTTCTGTCTCTCGCTTGTCTTTCTGGCGAGCACAGGCACCCTATAGTAAAAGTCTCTTTTAAAATAATGATAAGGTTGACGGCACAGTAGCCCTTTTCTGGGCCAACCTGGTTGCCTGCAGGTGGATGTCCTGGTGACCACGGCTGGAGGTGTGGAGGAAGATCTCATCAAGTGCTTGGCACCCACGTACCTGGGCGAGTTCAGCCTCCGGGGGAAGGACCTCCGAGAAAACGGGATCAACAGGTGGGGACCCCGCGAGGTGCTGGGCAAGGGGCTGGCGGAGGGTCCCGGTGACTGACGCCCACATGCCTCCTCCTGTCTCCAGGATTGGGAACCTGCTGGTGCCCAACGACAATTACTGCAAGTTCGAGGACTGGCTGATGCCCATCCTGGACCAGATGGTGCTGGAGCAGAACACAGAGGTGGGGCTGCAGGGACCGGGGGCGGCGTGGTGGGGTCAGGGAGGACAGGCTGAAGCCAACGTCCCCTTCCAGGGTGTGAAGTGGACGCCTTCCAAGATGATCGCCCGGCTGGGCAAGGAGATCAACAACCCCGAGTCGGTGTATTACTGGGCCCAGAAGGTGAGCGGCTGGTGGGGGAGACGCAGCCCAGCTTTGGCGTGTGTCGAGACAATGCCTCTTCACAGCCACTGGGGGGCGTCACCGCAAGTTTCTCAGCATTCCGACTTTTAGAAGAGAAACCTCGGGGTCAGCAGGTGGTTAAGGTGCTAGATTCTCATATGGCTGACCACAGTTCAAGTCCTGGTCTCAGTAGCTTGACAGTCATGCTGGGCGCATGTGCATGCGTGTCCAAGATCCCGAGAGAATGGAGGAGAAGGGATTGCAGCGTGGCCATCCCCCCGGAGGTGATTTCTCACTTTCCCTCTCACTGTCTCTCTGGCAAGTACACACACCCTGTAGGAAACACTAGAGGGACCAGCAGATGGAGTAATTGCTACATCACTGGGCTCCCACGTAGTTGACCGCAGTTCGAGTCCCAGACCCGGTAGCTTAAAACTCATGCCGTGCGTGCCTAAGATTCCAAGAGGAGAAGGGCTTGCGGCGTGGCCATCCTCCTCTGGTGGTCACACGTGATCTCTCCCTTTCTCTCTGTTTCTCTGGCGATTGCCACACCCTATAGCAACAATCTCAAAAGGCAAAACAAAAACCTAGAAACAACAATAGAAAAGGATCGTAAGCACCCCACTTATAGCCAGGCAGGGGAGAAAAGCAACTGGGACAAAACCCAGCTGCCCCCCGCAGCCCAGAGCACCGGCCCCTGACCTGTCCCGCCCTCCCCCAGAACCACATCCCTGTTCTGAGCCCGGCGCTGACAGACGGCTCGCTGGGAGACATGATCTTCTTCCACTCCTACAAGAACCCGGGCCTGGTCCTGGACATCGTTGAGGGTGAGGTTCTGGGGTTTGCAGGGGAACTGGGTCAGAGGGTGGGCTGAGCCCAAGCCTGACCACGCCCTCCCCTCCCACCCCCAGATCTGAGGCTCATCAACACGCAGGCCATCTTCGCTAAGCGCTCGGGAATGATCATCCTGGGCGGTGGTATGGTCAAGCACCACATTGCCAACGCCAACCTCATGGTGAGTGGGGCCGGGCGGCCGAGAGCAGCCAGGACCCTGCCCTCCGGGACTGCTGTTCTCGTGGGGCGATGGCAAACGTCACGCATGTCAGGTGGCAGTCACTACCCTAAAATGAGGCTCCGTGACGGTTCCAGAGAAGGGGTGCTGTTCAATAGGGCCAGCAGGTGGCATAGTGCTTAAGGCACTGGACTCCCACATGGCTGACTGTGGTTCAAGTCCTGGGCCTGGTGGCTTCAAAATCACTCCAGGCACGTGTGTGTGCATGCTCAAAAGCCCAAAATCGAGAATGGAGGAGAAAGAATTGCCGTGTGACTATTCCCCTTGGGGTGATTTCTCACTTTCCCTCTCACTGCCTCTCTGGTGAGTGCCCATGCCCTGTGGTGGAAAACCTTAAAAAAAAAAAAAAAAAAAACACACCCAAGTTTTTTTTTTTTTGGTAGGGTTTTTCTTTATAG